AACACTACATTAATGTTTTTATGCAAATTAGCCAAAATTTGTTGATCCTTCATGTATGCTAATAGTATCACAATTATAAATGATATGTCTAAAACAAATAATGTCCTTTTTTTATAGAAAAATACAGAAAAATAAATTAAAATGTAATTTAATTACTCTCTTATCTTTATAGTTTCAAAAAATTATCTTTAAGTTTTTAAATAATAATAATAGGATTAAAAAAATAAAAAATTAAAATTAAATATTTTCAACTATAGAAATTAAGGTAAAGTTTATAAAATTATAAAAGACTATAAAAGACAATTAAACCTAAGGAGAGATACACGAATTTTTTACTGGAATATTTTTTTTTTTAAATATCTAAAAAAACATCTGTTCCAATTTATTTACACCACTAGTACCCTTTACTGTTCACATTCAGAACGGGCCGTTTTGATATCAGAACGGATCGTTCCAGATGCAAAAATAACACATGATAAATGAATCAGAACGGGCCGTTCCAGATTCAAAATTAACACATGTCCAGTGAAACTAGAATGGGCTGTTCTGAATCCGGAACGGGCTGTTCTGGCCACTTCTAGTGGGCCGACATATGGAACAATAGACATGAGCACATATTGATGGGTCATCCAATGCAAGACCCATTGTTTCAAACACGATAATACATGGAATGGTACATGACCAATTCCATCTATTTCCTATCTGTGGCACGACTACTACAAGATCCAAGGATCCATCAACAACGAAGGACTTCTACAACATTTGAAACTGGTGCAACTTCCATGCGATCGTATGAAGAGACTCATCAGCATGTATCAAATCCTCCACACGACATCACCCCACAAGAAAACATAATTGACAGAAGACATTCGTTTGCAATAACTTCAGGGGATTTTTTTACAAATTTATTTGGAGTAAATTTTAGAACTTCATCTTCAGCACAATCATACATGCAATCTCTTTACCAACCGGAATTTGCTAATGAACCTGGTAGTTCTTCAGCAGCATTTCAACAACCAGTGATTGATGATGAACCAAATCCTTCTGCGCAACAACCTCCACGGCGTAATCCACGCTGTAACAGACGTCGCCTTCGTCGTGGAACTGGACACCACTACGAAGATTAAAAAACTTATATAATTCACTCTATCTTAATGTTATCATTTTTTACTTTTAATGCACTATGTCTCTTTATCAATGTAATATGAATTTTAATGTTATGCATTTTTACTTTTAATGCACTATGTCGCTTATAAACTATTATAATTATACATTATTTGGACATGTCTTCCTAGTGTGATGTGTAGGTTATCTAGGCTTGTCATTATTAGCCAATAATCTTCATGTCGGAGCTTGCATTGTAGTAGTCGTGGCACGGATAGGAAATAGATGGAATTGGTCATGTACCATTCCATGTATTCTCGTGTGTGAAACAATGGGTCTTGCATTGGATGACACATCAATGTGTGCTCACGTCTATTGTTCCATATGTCGACCCATCAGAAGTGGCTAGAACGGCCCGTTCCGGATTCAGAACGGTACGTTCTGGTTCCACTGGTCATGTGTTAATTTTGAATCTGGAATGACCCGTTCTAAACGTGAACAGTAAAGGGTGCTAGTGGTGTAAATAAATTGGAACAAATGCTTTTTGAGTAATTTAAAAAAAAAACATTTCAATAAAGAATTCGAGATACACAATATATATATATATATATATAGTATATGATTTATATGCACCAAACTTGTTATATATATATATATATATATGAGGATTTATCTGTTTACTCTAGGAGTAAGTCTATCTAAACTTACTCCGTTCAATAACTCATGTTCTATATCAAATTTCAACAATTCAACTGTTGAATTTAAAGTTTTTAATGTATAGATCAAATCTGTAAATTTTTAAAAAAATTTAAAAATTATTTGATACTTCATTTTATTAATTCAAATTGACGGATAATCATAAAATTATTTTATACATTGATTTGAATTAATGAAACGAAGTATTAAATGATTTTCAAATTTTTTAAAAATTTACAGATTTAATTTATGCATTAAGAACTTTAAATTCAACAGTTGAATATTTAAAATTTAATATAAAACATGAGTTATTTGATTATGTTTTGAACAAAGAATAATATCGGTTTTGAAGAAGGATATTGTAGAATATATTTCTAACATTTGATACATATATTTCATTATATGACAGACACTAATATACTGTTTAATTAGAAGGTTTGCATAGTTCATATTTTATACAGAAATGTAGAAAGAGTTGTGTGGTTAAGATGTTGAAAATTCATAAATGAAAAAATAAATGTGCGTTGTGTGATGGAGTGACAGCTCATAATGCTGCAAGTATATATCATTAGAGTTTCAGACACTTGAAAGGTGATCAACATGTTGCGGATGGTACCAAAGGAGGGAAAGACCAAGACACTAAACAACAAAACTTGTCGTCTGCTTCACTTTATTCCAAAGTGTTTCTAACAAATATGTATTATTTGTTTTTTATGACAACCTTTTAGAAATTATATTAATAAGAAACCACAATAATAACATAATTAATTAAATTCATTATTAATTTGTAATTACTTAGATTGGATGACATTCAAATCATGAATGCAATCAGTTCATTCATAATCACTCAGAGTTTGGTTGAATATAAATTAATTAAAAATATTTTTCAAAACTTTTTCTACTGAAAATATAATTTTTAAATTTTTTTAAATATACTTCTAAACTTATATATAAGCATTTTCTTAGTTTCATTTTTAATTATCAACTGAGACACATCTTTATTACACAAAATTCATTGATACTTGAACTTCTTTTGGAGTTCTTGTTGGTTTCTAAACAAAAATAATGTTAAATGTATGGTTGGAAATTTTTATAAAACTATTAGCACGTCTAGCTCTTCGATATTAGTAATATTATTTATATAATAATTTTTTATTCTTTAATTTTTCATCAATTTAAATTATTTTAAATATAATTTTATAATAATTATCATAAAAATAAATAATCTTACTATTATGTAGATAATTAATAATTAAATAACAATATAGAATATGTACACTATTAATACATTATAATCAAATTTAATTTTATATACTTATAACTTTTTATTTCTCTTATGTATAATTTTTTTTATAAGAATTATTATATGAACAACATTACTCCTTTAATAACAAGTACTTTAAAAAATATTTTAATAAAAAATGCATAAAATATTTGTAACTTTTTCAAATATTTTTTTTTTGGGGTTTATAGACTACATGTGTCTAATGTTAAAAATAATCCAACTTAAGCTAAATAAGATCGTTATAAATAAGTAATTTTTTTCTCCAAATATTGAATAAATTACGTATTCATGATTTGAATTCGAGACTATAAATATCAATTGATTACTCGCTCAATAATTTTTAAATATTTTCAAACCTATTAAAGTGTTTTTTTTCTTCCCGTAACTAGGAAAATTGTACGAGGCTTTGGATTTTCTTGAGCAAATAAAGTGATTCAATGGATTTTGATAGTCTTAATAAAAACACATCTAAATTGACCAGAAATTCTTAGCAATATAGACAAGGGACATATGGTTAAAGTGCCACATATGATATACCAACTCTAACAAAATAAAATGTAAAAATTGCAAGCGTTGTTGACTTCACTTTTCCCTTTTGATTAAAGTTAAGGTCAAGATTAATATAAGAATTTTTTTATTCTTGATTAAGTGAATTTGGTATTTTTGCGAATAGGATTCTCGTGAATATATATTTTTTTTTATACAAATTTTACAAAATATGTTTTGTTATTTAATTTTCTTAAAATAATGTTTATAACTAATATCAACAAAAAATTAATAATTATTATAAGAAAGTTTTATTTTTTAAAATTTTAAAAATCTCTAATTCTTTAGAAACAATTGTATGTTTTTTTTGACAAGGAGAAGCAATAGTATTATCTTTCATTAAATAGGACAAACTTTTATTTTAAAATCACATTTTAAAATATATTATTAAAATAAAATGGAGTTATAATTTTAAGAATTAGATTTCTCTTTGTTTAATTAATGATGTTCATCTACTTTTCTCGCTCATTATATGCCTATGGGCGTTTAATGCTTGTCCGGTAAATGGCTTTAATGAACCCGTTCCAATTTAACTCTTTTGTCATTTATCTTTCAAACTTCCCCTTAGAGGTTTGATGATCTCAATTCTAATAGGCTAACCAAACTCAAACATTCTCATTTTTTTAATACCTAAACAATCCAAACTAGTTTCAGACTGTCAAGTTATATCATATAATATTCACGTTTTTTTTTTCGCAAAAAAAGAAGAGAATACTTGTCTGATCAAGGTTAAAATCACAGTTGCCAGTATTAAAATGCACTTTAGCAATTCTCAAATGTATTTGGTAAAATTTTATTGTCTCTAATATTAATTGTGCTGAGGAAATTTCATTTATCATAAGTATTTTCAAGCTTTTTTATTTGCAATAATGGAATTTAGATACGGGACTTATAAACATTTACACTTTTTTTTTTATTATTAACACAATAAACATTCTACAAAACCGTTGTCATTGGACAATTATTGGTATCATGCCCAAGTTTTTTTTTTTTTTTTTGTTTTGTTGAATAAGGGTTAACAACATCCTCTCTGGCACACTTTATTATTGGTTAAATTTACTGAAATTACAGAATCAAAATGTTAATCAGAAGTCGCAATGCAATGTGTCCAGAATAGATATTCTATCTCGCTGTTTCTACAATATTTTTTTTTTTGACAAAAATACGAGCAAAATATGAGATGAGTATTAAAATAGAAAAACTTAAAGAGAAACATCATAAAAAATAGTTGAAAAAAAATAACATAACTCATATGAATGTCACAAATCATTGCTAAATGTTGCATTTCGAATTGCTGGGTTCAACGGAAGTAATGTAATGACGTGCCTATTAGGTATAGTGTTGGGTATAACGGATTTTAATAGAATTGATTTTGAACAATGTATTTCTCAAAGACAAATGAATATGATTGAGATGTGTTTAAATTAACATGAAGTACATATTTGCAGAAGTGGACAATGTATTCCTGAAATAACACCTCAGTTGCATCAATCACAATGATGCTTTGCCTGTTAGCTCCTCCAAAATTACATGCCAAAAAAATAATAAATTCCTCCCCGTTGGTACCCAAGCATAAATTTCCTATTCACGAGGGTAAACTGAACCAATATGGGGAGGGATGACCTGTTGTTGAACCTTTTATTCTTCATTATTTTGAAGAGTCTGCTACCACACGGTAGTAAAATATTCGAATGACACAGTTCTTAATCATGGCAAAGTAACTTTCACTTCTTTCCTATCAGCACCAAATGACTGCAATTCAGAAGAAAAACCGATCATAAGTGTTAGTGTTAAAAGAACACCAGTATTAAATAATGGCTAATGATATATACACTTTTTTTTTTTATAAGTACACCTCTTATTTTTTTTTAAAAAAAATCTTAAAATATCCATAGTTTTTATTTTATTCTTTAAAATTTTTTAATTTTACACTCCCAACTTTCAATTTATTATTTTCTTTTATTTTTTCACACACCTTCCTTCTCTCTTTCAATTTTCATATGCACTCTTTTATTTTCTTTCAATTCTTCACCTATTTCAATAAGTAGTTTTAGTTTTTTCAATTTTTACATTACTCTCTTATTTTCTCATCTATCACTTTTTCACATGCACGCAGATCGTAAAACTGATACACAACATTGTAGTTACATGTAGCTTTCTTGATAGTTTCTACCGAATTAGACACATTTTTTTTTTCCAACACTTTCTTTTCTTTCACCCCTCCTAAAATCTTAACATTAAGTTTAGTGTTATAAAAGAGACATTTTCACTATCCCGGAGTACTGTACGAGATAGTAAAATTAGTGTTCTGAAAAGAACTTCTTGGAAATGTGTTTTTTTACATAATTTCATAAAGTATTTTCTAGAACGATAAGTTTAGTATTCCAGAACATACTTTCCAAAAGTATGTAAAATAACACACTTCCAGAAAGTACTTTCCAAAATCATAAAGTTAATGTTCCGGAAAACACTTTTCGGAACAGTAAAGTTAATGTTCCAGAAAGTACTTTCCGGAATTATGTAAAACAATCGGAAAGTATTTTCTGGAATAGTAAATTTAGTGTTCCAGGAAGTACTTTCTGGAAGTATGTTAAAATCTCAATTTTGAAACTTTCTTTCAATAAAATTATTATTCCAAAATGTACTTTTTGAAACACTAAAATTATTTGATGTTACATTTTAGACGTGTAAATGAGATAAGTGTTCGGAAAAAAAATACACATTTAGCTCGGTACTTTCAACAATGTCAAGAAAGTCACATGTGCCTATAATGTAGTTGAAAACTAGTTTTGTGTTCTGAGTGCGTGTGAAAATTAAAAGTAAGAAGAGAGAAAATAATAATGAGAAAACTGAACGAGAAAAGGAAAGAGAGTAATATAAAACTAAAAGAATTAAAACTACCTACCGAAATAGGTGAAAGTGGAGGAAAGGTAAGGGAGTATATGTGGAAACAAGGAAAGGAGGTGTGTGAAAAAAAAAATATTAAGTTAAATGTTGGGAATATAAAATTAAAAATAATAAAAATTAAAGATATTTTAGAAATTTAATTATTTTTTTGATAAAAAGGGGGTGTACTTATAAAAAAAAAAAGGTGTAAATATTATAAGCCTTAAATAATTTATGCTAATAGACACCTACGCACAGGCCCACTTGTGGGGTGGGCCTGGGAAGGGTTAGATAGATGGTATGCACTGTTATCAATTATTAACTGCTAGAAAGTAGGTGTAGTGTAGTTGCATGTTTTTTCATGTAATCTTCAAAACCCTGATCGAGTCATTTACCCCATTTTGATATTTGAATTGTGTGTAAACACTGAATCAAACTATTATTCAACTAAATATATCCATTCTCCTATAAAATTCTAAAGCCGTATAGTTGGATGAAATCAATACCTCGACTCCGTAACCTTTAACGTAGACATTGGTAAATAGATCAGATGGATCTGGCATTGGACTCTCCTAGAAAATTGAAATATAAGGTTAGGTACACAGAAAAAATTTCAGTTAAGAGAATGAACATCAAAGATATGCTTTTCACCTTTGCTTTAGCAATGGCTTCGTCAACTTCTTTCCTGATTTCTTTTTCAATGTCCTACAGTAAGGAAATGCTATTAACATTTTGACTAGCATTGCATCAAATTCAACAGACACTAGCATAAAAAGCCAGAAACAGCTCAAACTTCAAACAGATATTCCAAAAATCCCATAGGAAGAAAACATTGTAAAATATAACTGATAAATGCTATGATTTCATTAAGTTTATGGCCTAATTTGAAGCACTCATATCAATTTTCTTTGTTTTAAATCTTGTTTTTAACTCAAAACATATCTAAATTGTTAGGTGATCACATTTTGTCTTTGAATCATGTTTTTAGGTAACTTACAAGTATTTGGTTGTTATTTTGTAGTTTAGGAGAAAGCTAGGAAAGAAAGAAGGAAGTAAAGGACAAAGTGATGAACCCAAAGCAGGAAGAATTTTTGGTTCAGTCTCTGGGCTAAGCCTCAGATCTACGCTTAGCCTCAGTTTGGCAGAGAGTCAAGGAACAAACTTCAATGCTTAGCCTCAGCTTGGCAGAGAGTCAAGGAACAAACTTCAATTCTCAAGCTGAGCGTGGAAATTGGCGCTGAGCATGAGTGTTCCAGAAAAAAAATATAAAGAAAATTATGAAATATTATTTGTGATCCACGAAATTGGCCATTCCTCACATAGCAGAAATAGTTGTAGGTGGAATTAAACTCAATAGAACATTAGCTACCACCATAAAGGACTACCAACCCGTATGATACCCTATTTGGACTCTAATACCCATATGATTCGAATTAAATAAAGAATGAAGTTTCTACTATGGACTGTCTTCAAGAAAAAAAAAAAAAAAAGATAGTGAATTTTGCAACAGATATCATGAAGAAAATCATAGTATGTTAGGCATAACCGATTCTGAAAATATCACATTTCACAATTCAAGGGATCAATAATGAACTCCAATTTCATCCAATCACCTTTAGCTCCTTTTCAGCAGCAATGTCGTGAGTCAACAACAACTTTCTTACTCTCTCAATTGGATCACGCTCCTACAATCATATCAGCCCAGAAAAAATAATTAAAACAAATTTCTCAAGATATTAAACTAATAAGAAACTGTATGCTGGGGACTAGTGTGACAAACCTGTCTCACACCAGAAATTTCATCACGTGTGCGATATGTGCTACCAGGATCAGACATGGAGTGACCATGGTATCTGTAAGTATCCATTTCAAGAATCTGGACAGAATAATCAATAAGATAGAGAACTCAATCAAATATAAAAGAGAAGAAATCTTGATTTTAATCAAAACTACACAAATCACAGGTACATTAAAACAAAAACAAATTGTAAAATGCACCAATCCTTTGAGTCATGCATTTAATGTTGCTGTACTTTATGACTAAAAAAACTCCTTTTGCATACTGTATCTGATGATGAGCAACATATGCCAAAACCAAATCATATTTTTAAGAATGTAAACTATCAAATAATAAACCATATCCTCGACCTATTGCAAACAAAATATGATTAATTAATTAAAAGATCCAAAAAAAAAAAAAGTGAACCAATACTTTTCTCACATCAATGACCCATGACATTCAACGACTTTTCAGTAAAATAATTACCAAGAAGGTTCAAACAGCAATTAATTGTTCAAGTTCAGAGACACAATTTATTGCTCCTCAATGGCTTCTTACTCGGATGATAATTTGTCAAAGGATACAAACTTCTTATCAACATGCTATTTCTTAAGAATTATTGGGATTGGGAAAAAGAATCAAGCAAATTATCCAATGTCAATTCCATAGTTTTTTTTTTTAAAAAAATTATCCAGACAAACAATGCATTAAATTAAACCAAACAAAACATCAGGTCCTACAAATCAGGCATCCTAAACCCTATTTAATTATCTACTTGTTAATATCAGAATTATTTTGACCAAAGAAGATTTGAGGATAAAAGAAGAATCAAGATTATGGAAATTATCAACAAGGGCCACTAGAAGTTATCAAGACTTCAAGGGCGGTTACTAGAAGGTATTTGGAATGGTTACTAAAAGTTATTATTAGTTAACACGTTTTCCTATAAATATTAGTTTGTACAACATAATAAGCCAAAACAATCTAATGTTATAAGCAAAAGGTGTGGGCAAGAAAGCCAAAAAAATCTCATCTTAAACGCAGTGTATGGCTTAATTCTTAGATCTATACTTTCAACTGAGTCAGATAGCTAATTAGCATTTTCATGGTTGATTTAAGGAGTTCTGTCAATTGTTAGCATGTTAATGAACAAGTATAGCACCCTTTCCGTAAGGCTAACGTTAATCTGATAACCAATGAAATTGCCACAGTTGATCCTTCCAAATCTAAGGAGTTATATCATGCTTTAGTAGATGAATGGCTGATTCACAACATCCAATTACCAATAATTAATTCTAAGAAGAGAAATTCAAGTATACATAACAGCAAAAAAATTAACTCACAAGGGGCCCATTCTTCAAAGCATGTTCCTTTGCAAATTTGCAAGCTTGTTTAACAGCAAGAACGTCCATGCCATCTACCTGTACATAGAACAAATATTCGTTAAAAAAACCTCAAGATTGTTTAGAAAGAGAACTAAGTATACTTAATTACCCTATTTACAGATATGCAGGCATGCAAACATACATGTGCATACCAACACCCATAAATACACCCTTAAACAACGGTAGCAAAATAAAGACAACATATAGCCAACATAATCCTACATATTTAGACATCAAAACAGGAATAGAGCCCAAGGAGGAGGATGGAGATTCCACAAAAGCATCAGCATTCAATGCAAGAACAAGAAACATGTCCATCCCTCAAAAATCAAAACCTCATTCAGACCATTATAAGAGATCCGAGATCCTAATTTAAAAACAAAAACAACATAAAAGAAGCAGTGACCCTAAATATGATTGATATAAACAAAGAGAGAGACTGAGAGAGAGAGACTGAGAACTTGATATTGTAACTTTACAGACATTATCTATCTACATTTTCAAAGAACTCATATCCAAAGTAAACTAAAATAGGCAATAAGGATACAATGCACAATCGAGAAACAAGCCACCTAACACCATGTTAAATTTGGCAGCACTACATCTGAAGAAAGCTTTATCCATAACAGCACAAGTAATAAATCTTCATATTATTATGCTTTACAAAACCAAAATTCATTATTTCCGTGAACATAAAATATTCAGTCACTTGGTTTCGGATGCTCCTGTAGAAACAATTGCTTATTTTTCAAAAATTCTCTCAGAAAACTGGCAAAACTAATCAATCATCTCTCCAAAATAAGCTGAACCACAAGCAGGCACTTAACCCTTTAATCAGTGCACTGAATACAGTCATGCATCCCCCCACCTTTTTCCATTCTAAGACCTCGAAAAGGCATTGCCATATTGGCCACTTAACTAATCTCGCTCAGCAATCAACCAGATTCCAAACAAACCAACACACACCCATCCCTTCCAAGTTCCAACCAAGATAGTGCACATCAAAGTAGACAGGCACTTCTTTTCTCAACTAACAAGAACAACACTAGCTACCCACACACTCCCTACTACTAGATAAATTTCCTCGTGTAGGGG